GAACACTCAGCACAAGGAACAGACCGGGACAGCCTCCCAGAGATTGTAGAACTGAAACCATTGTGGCATGTCAGGACTGCTCAGTGGTTATAGGACTATAACATTTCAGGGCTGCGGCAAAAACACTCAGCACAAGCAACAGAGACACAGAGACACAGAGACATACAGACATACAAACACAGAGACACAAAGACATACAGACATACAGTCAGACAGTCAGACAGACGGGTAGACACAGACAGACAGACAGAGAGACAGACAGAGACACAGAGACAAACAGACATACAGACAAACACAGAGACACAGAGACACAGACACAGCCAGAGTCAGACAGAGACTTACACACCGACAGACGGATAGACAGATTCAGATAGAGACAAACAGACAAACAGACAGACAGGCAGGCAAACACAGACAGACAGACGGACAGACAGACAGACAGACAGACAGACTGGCTGACTGACAGACTGACTGATAGACTGACAGACAGAGACACAGAGACACCGAGACAGACATACAGACAGAGAGACACAGACATACAGACAAATAGACTGATAGAGACATACACACCGACATACAGACAAACAGACAGACAGAGACAGACAGACAGACAGAGACAAAGAGACAGACAGAGACACAGAGACACAGAGACATACAGATATACAGACAGGCAGAGACATACACACCGACATAGAGACAGACAGACAGACAGACACACAGACAGAGACAGACAGACATACAGAGACAAAGAGACAGACAGAGACACAAAGACATAGAGACACAGAGACACAGAGACAAACATACAGACACAGACAGACAGACAAACAGACAGACACAGAGACAGACAGAGACACAGAGACACAGAAACACAGAGACACACAGACATACAAACATACATACGGACAGATAGGCAGACACAGACAGACAGACAGAGACACAGAGACACGGAGACACAGAGACATACAGACAGACAGACAGGCAGACACAGACAGACAGACAGACAGACAGACAGACAGACAAGACAGACAGACAAGACAGACAGACAGAGACAAACACACCGACATACAGACATACAGACAGGCAGACACAGACAGACAGACAGACAGACAGAGTCACAGAGACACAGAGACATGCAGACACAGAGAGATACAAACATACAGACAGACAGACAGGTAAACACAGATAGACAGACAGACAGACAGACATACAGACAGACAGACAGACAGACAGAGACATACACACCGACATACAGACATACAGGCAGACAGACAGGCAGACACAGACAGACAGACAGAGAGAGAGACAGACAAAGACAAACAGACAGACAGACAGACAGACAGACAGAGACACAGAGACACAGAGACACAGAGACAGACAGAGACACTGAGACACAGAGAAAGACAGAGCCAGACCAGACAGACCGACAGACAGACAACGGTCAAACGAAGCGATTGTAGAACTGAAACCACTCAGCAGAAACAGTATTGCTCAGTGGTTTGAGGACTTTAATAGTTCAGGGCTGCAGCAAGAACACTCAGCACAAGCAACAGACCGGAACAGCCTCTCAGAGATTATAGAACTATAATCACTTAGCAGAAACAGTACTGCTCAGTGGTTATAGGACTATAACAGTTCGGGGCTGTGAGGATACGCACCCTGCAGCCTTTTTTGCTCGCTGCCGCCAGCCTCTTGTTCTCAATCTGGAATTTGTTGGGCACCATTTTCTTCAAGGCAACAAGGAAGCTGACAAGCGTTTTGCCTGTTAAAACCTACAATTCGGCGAACGATTCCTTTTCTTCCATCACCCAACTTGCAAAAATGATCTCGCCATAACATTTGTAGTGCTTCTCCGACTGCGCGTACAGCTTCACTCCGACAGCTGTGAGGCAAAGAGCCCATAAGAATGGAAGAAGTTCCTTGGTTTGTTTCGCCGACAAGAGAATGTTATGCACCCAACTGTCCTTTTTCCTCCTCTTCCGTGCCCTGCATGCGTCCTGAACATCCTCTTCTTCCTCTTCATCCTAATCTTCCTCATGTTCCTCTTCTTCCTCTTTTTCCTCTTCTTCCTCTTCTTCCTCTTCTTCCTCTTTCTCATCTTCTTCTTCTTCTTCCTCCTCCTCGTCTTCGTCTACCCCCACATCCTCTACTCCCATCGGGTTCTCCTCTTCCTCCTCATCTTCGTCGTATTCCTGTCCGCTGAGCTCCTCTTCGACCTCTGCTTGTTCTTCGGGGTCCTTGTCGAATGCATGCGCTGCTGGCCCCTCCTCTCAAAAGTTCGATCTTGGGCGCCCGGCACTGCTGCGTGCTTTGCTTCCGCCCGAGGCCACGGTCAGGTCCGGAATAGACTTTGTCAGTCTGTTCTTCATGTTGAGCCTGCAAACAAAGAAGGCAATGACGACAAACAAGCAGGAGGTTTAGGGCTACAAGAAGAAAAAGAGAAATAGGCTGGGGCGAGGAGGAGGAGGTCTAGGGCTATAAGAAGAACAATAAGATGAAAACAAATAAGAAAAAGAAGCGGAGGGCCGGCGATGGCGGCGGGTAGGGGGGGGGCGGGCGATGGCGGCGCCGGCGACGGCGGAGGGCGGAGGGCGGGCGGAGGGGGAAGGGAAGGCGAAAGTCGGGGGAGTCGGGGGAGTTGGGCGGCGATGGCGGGGGGGTGGAGGGCATCCCCTGCCCCACCCCCCCACGCAAAAAAAATAAATGAAACAGATCAACTTTTTTTCGTTGATTGATTGATTGATTGATTGATTGATTGATTGATTGATTGATTGATTGGTTGATTGGTTGATTGATTGATTTCTTTATCTTTTTATTCGATTTTGCTTTTTTTTTTTTTTTGTTGATTGATTGATTGTGTGTGTGTGTGTGTGTGTGCGTGTGTGTGTGTGTGTGTGTGTG